GACGACAGCGGTGGACAATACCCTCATAACACGACTTGACTACCAGATGTATACTGAAAGTCGGTACGTGTCAATCCTGTGAATATATTTACTAAAAGACGACACAGCGGTGGACACCCTCATAACACGACTTGACTACCAGTATATTGAAAGCTGATAATTCAACCATACCGCGATCGATGTTCACATTCCATGACTCACACGATTAGCTGACAACTCAGCATCAGCCAATTTAGATTGTATTGTCGGAACAATTATAATGACGACAACTAGGGAAACGTATTCAAGTTCCACCCGAAAGAGACGTTCCCTGACAAACTGGATCCACACATTACTTTGGTAATCTCGATTTGGAATATAGAGCATATCAAGTGGAAATAAACAGTAGGAGACGATGTGATCTTACTACTCATTAAACTAGGTAGTTATGCTGTACACACAAGTCAATGCGTGACTACCAGTAAGGATCTATGACCTGGAAGTAACATTCGGCGATTAAACAGACTACAGAGAGAGTTGGGGTACATTTGGATCATGTGTTGCTGCCATTAAAGGTATTACCTAAGTGTACGTGTGTTAGAAGTGCTTACAGTGGATGTCGTCGCTGATACCAATATTTCTCATTATCGCTGCAACGTGTATTGTGGTAATGGATTTTCCTCATTTGGTTGCTGCAGGTAGGGATGTGAATGGTTGTTTTCCTTTTCCTTTCTCTGCCACCGTGTGTCGCGTATTGTCGTAATGGCGGGATTTGTGAAGTTGGTATTTATCGTTTTATTGTCAAATTTAGACTTAGCAATGAGAGACAGTGTGTGAGTGAGACTTAGGTTTCACGCCGATTTTAGCAATATTCAAGTTAATATCACCGCTTGGGGACACAGAATACGCTTCACATACATGGTATATACGAACCCATGTGGGAATCGAACCTGAGGTTGGTTTTTAATCACTAGAGCTACCCCACCACCCCACGTGGAAATAAAACCTGTGTTTGTGACAGCAAAGTTTAGGACTTATCAATATACAGTCACTTTACAGGGGTTGACGCCAACAAATTCTTCTGTCTTCCGTGCACTGGACATCCGTTCTGCCTTTAATATACGAATTGCAGTCACTGTATAGTGATCTGTTTGAACAACTATTTCCTTTATACGACACTAAAGTCACCGTTTCAGAAGACCCGTGATTCATTCACATAGCTACTTTATCTAGACCGTACCAATATCACCATACAGTGATTCATGTGAATATCTATTTGCTATAAGGAGAGGTGAGGTGAGGGTGAAATTGGTTTTAACGTCGCTAGAGAATATATTTCGCCTATATGACGACGTGCATACCGTAATGTGTATGTGTAGCGGTTGCTTGTGCTAACCAGCCCAGAAGCTGGTTTTATAAAGAAGGCCCACTGGAGATACCCACGCCGCAGTGAAGCATGAGATACCCCTCTCAAACACATTATACCGACTCGAGACGACCAGTCCTTGTTGTACCCGGCATTAATTGCCGAGCGCCAGGCAGGAATCAACAGAGTTACCATATTTTAACGTCTTTTGGTATGACGCGGTCGGAATCGAACCTTAATGACCTTCCGCTCATTGGTATATGAGACACTACTATCTCAATATAGCATTCGTGGGAACAGCCTTTTTATTCAAGAGACTAATACCAGTGTACGTGATTCATGAATGGTTATACAATGCACTATTACCGAGGGCGGTTCGGTAAGGAATAGCCTTCGTCGTCAAGCCGAAGATTCGTTCGATTTCATTACGGTACAATGTGTTAAGCCCATTTCTGAAGTCCCGTGATAGTTGGTGGAATACTAAAGCAAGTTAAACTAAACCTATTCACTCACTAGTTCGCAACACGTTGTTCGAAGCTCCATCTGGTAACATTCCAGCGATCGTTTTTCCGTCGCTGATAATCGGCACTTGTTTTCCTCATCACGGTATGCCACAAACAATCTCATCCGACTGTCGTTCATACCGTCCACGCATATCATGCACGCGATTCAACAACAAAATCACGATTTTACTGTATGATATAATTGCGTTTAAGCAAACCCGTGTACAGAATGTAATACCATGTTTTTGTGTTAATTTAATCCTAGAACAGGCAGTGTATATACTTTCTTTACCACTTGAAGTTTCCATCCTGCACCTCAAGGTGTAGCACCATATTTCCGGACACAAAATTCAGCTATCTAACCACCGAGCCACCAAAAAGTTCAACAGCTGGTAGCCCACAACATTTACTTGTTATCTAACCACAGGAGGAAATATCCGCCCTTACCTTATCGCCTGGTAGCAATATGGTGTAAATACTTGTAACGTAAATCTTGAAACTGATACCATAAATCACATGTTATCGTAGCAACTAAACACTCAAGTTCATGTGAATTATGCTCAGAATTATCCATGTACACTTGCAGATTCAGATGTACTGAATTTCAGGTCCCAATGGTTACCGTGTGCGATCCTGCTTTGAGTGAGAGGAGTGAGAGGGTAAAGCTTGCTGGCTCCTGCCATATCATTGCGAGGGACACCAGAAATGGCTCCACCATTATACCCACCATGGCGTGAAACGAACTGGTCTTTAGTCGACGAGCGAACGCTTAAACCACTAAGTTAACCTTCGCCTATGTGCTCAAGCCTCTCAGTTCACAGGTTCATATTTTTCTTACAATGATGCCCTAGGGCAAAAATATTGTCATGGATGGTGACGTGACGTCGCTGAACAAGGCTATGACGTGTCACGTTTCTTCTATGACGCTGCATCATACATGCGGCGACGGCGGGCAGCCAGGCTATGTTTGAAAGCAGATTTGCCATTTTCCCTCAATTTAACGACTCCCGTAATAAACAGAATATTAGTATTCGTGCTCATATCATACCATGCTTACGACACTGTCAAAGCCTAAATATCGGTATATCCCTCGTTCTCGCTCGAAAATACCAACATTTAGGCACTCGTGTCGTAAACATAGTATGACAAGGGCATTCATATAGCATCCTCTAGAACCTAACATCTTTATTAATGATGTCAACGTGAATTGTTTTCCACGCGCCAGTGAAGTCAATTGCTCTATACCTTGAATGGTAAAAGGCCAATACTTTACTTATAAGCGTGTTACCATAAATGCATTATTCGATGTCTTCATGGGTAGGCGTTGAATCATAACAAACTCTTTCTTCTGCGCTTCGTCTTCGATTGTCCTTCCTTCGCGTCTCTCGTTCTTTCTTTCTCCCACTTTCCCATCCAAATTGCCCCGTTTTCTCCTGCCTGCCTTCCACTGTGTGTGGTGATCCAGCAAGGCAATATCCCAAAAGCCCAAATACAATGGCATACATCGTCGAGTAATACTACAATTTGTTGTCTATTTCCGAGGATCGTATTTGTTATGCATGATTAACAAGGTCAATAAAAAGATCCTCTTATTTGTTTACCGGGTGCTAGGCAACGACGAGACTTGACCCGTTTACGATCGCCTGACAGTCAGTCGCCAGTCCCAGTCGCAGCAGGTGCTCGCACACTGACTGCCAAGCTGCATCATCGTTTATAAAAAGATCCAACCACCGTTAAGTGTCGAACGAACGTTTGTATCGAAGTAAAAGTTTGATCTCTGTGTATTTTCTTTTAACTAGCACTATTATTTTGTGGTTAAATAAAACTTTGATGTGTCGGACTCAACCGTTGTCTCGAAGAAAACATTTGACCTATGGGCATTTTCTTAATCAGCCATCTTTGTGGTTGTGTCGAAACTTTGATGAGTCGAACCAACCGTTTTCTTTGCAGTTAAAGTTTAATCTCTGGTATGTTCATATAATGGTATGTAATAAGGTTGGTTGTAAGAAACGTCTTGTTCCTCGAAGTATTTACATTGGTCGCTTAGACTTTCGACACAACCGTACTGTACAGTCAGTACGTAGAATAATTAGTTACGGGTGCTAGCTTTGATACACATAATATTTCAGTACAGATACTTATCATAAGCCCCTATCTTAACAATATCAATTACCCACTTACATACAAAGATTACGTCCTTGTCGAGCGAGTGCGCAAAGCGCATACTAAGCATAATGAACGTTTTCATCGAGATAACCTCTCAGCTGCCTGTGAGGCGCCAGGCAAGGATAGTCACTATGACTTATCGTGATTCGTGCTCCGGGCTTTATGAACAAATTCGTAAAGCGGCTTGAATAGTGAGTGAGTGGAATATTGGCCGGAGCGGGATGGGTTGGACCAGTGAAGAGTTGGCAGTCCCACTACTGTACCAGAAACCATCACCCTCTCCACTTCCACACACACCCGGCACCACACAAGAATAAAAGAATAACACATGTTACCTTGCAAACAGAACCGAAATGGCGTGGTTAATTATTACAGAAGAAGAACTCAGTACGTGTGCAAAATATTCTTCAGAATTAAAGGCCTCAATTAAAAATAGTAGACGTCTGTGATCTTAATTACTGGGATTTTACCTCACATGAGTGAGTTTAGTTTTACGCCGCACTCAGCAATATCCCTCAAGTATATATGGCGGCGGATTTGTAAACAATCTAGTCTGGACCCAGACAACCCACTGATTAACAGCATGAGCAATTGGGAACTGATGACATGTGTCAATCAAGTCAGCGAGCTCTGACGGTCTGATCCCGTTAGTCGCCTCTTAAGCATGGGTTGCTGAACACTCAATTCTAACCTGATCTTCACGGGTGCGACCCACATGAAGCTAACTGGTCGTAACTTAACTGAAATAATGTTCAAAGCGGCAAAAAATAATAGGCTTCACACATTGTACTCTCATGGGGAATCAACCCCAGGACTTCGGCGCGACGAGCGAACGCTTTAACCACTAGGCTACCCCACCTCTCCGTTATCAATTGCATGACAACATGTAATGTTATTTTGTGTGCAAACGCCTTAAGACATTGAGGATGCTAGCTGTGGATGGTATGTATAAACCTTTGTGTACATCTTCAGGTCTAAACCAGGATACATCATCAACTACGAACCTCTGGTACCACGACCACCACCTCCACCAACAACAACATCATCGTTCTAAGCGATAACGCAGCCAGATGTCAATCTATTTTTCAGCTTTTGAAGGTAAAATCGATACCACACTGAGGCACACTGTACCCTGAACGACACATTGTTTTGTATCACATTATACCGAGTTCCAGGCATGGTGACAAAGTCCCATTTTTCCGTATGGCGTGGTTAAATCCAAACACGACCTTTCAGTCTTGGCGGACGCTCTACCAAGTGCACCCCATTTGTTTTCAATTCACGAAGTATATTAAGCGCGATAAAATGCTAGCCATTAATCCATATCTTCCACCTTGTACCGGTAGAGATTCGAACAGATTGTCTCCTTCTTGCTCGTATTTGTCATTCTACGTTTAAGCTGCGGTGGGGTTGCTTGTGATTCACAAAGTGTTTGCTCGTCACGCCGGTACCAGGTTCGACTCCACACACATGGGTACAATGTGAAGCTGATTTCTGAATTATCCCCCCGCCGTGATGGCCAAGTGGAATATTTTCAAAGCGGCGTAAAACTCATTCTCTCATTCTACGTTTATCTTGCAATAAAGTAGTCTCCTATATTATAGAATTAAACTCCGCCAAACCATACTCGTAAAGGAAAGCACAGTAGATTGCATAAATCCCACTATATCACGTGTGTGTGTGTAGCCATGCACTATCAAATCGCTGAACTCATATAGATCCAGGTTTAGAACTGGATCTTCCAACAATCCATGCTTTTCTTGTTTCACCCGCGCAGCATCCAGGTTAGAATTGATCTTCAGCAATCCGCATAACGTAAGAGGCGACTGATGGGATCGGGTGGTCAGGCGAGATAATTTAGTTGACACATGTCATCGTTTCCCAATTACGTAGATTCGATGCTCCTTGATGTTGATCACTGAATTGTCTGGAGTCAAATTAGGGAATTGTATCGGACATCAGTATTGTCACAGAGAGCATAACAGTTAGAATGTCCTCCACATGTCTTCCGCAAACGTTTTGAAAGATCACCATATTTATATATTTGCTGTAGTTTGTCTTTTCCAGAGTAATCCAGTCATTATCATGTCTTCTTCGTGTTTTAGGGATTTCAACATAACCCTGCGACGACAACGAAGCTCTTCAGTCAGCACATACAAATTGAAACAACGATCGGTCAAGTGCCTTACGATATCAGCCGAGCGTATAACGGAAATCTCCTGAGAAGATTATGGTAACAAACTGATTTTCCTCGTCTCTTGCTTTGTTATTATCAAATATTTCTCATCTTTCAAAATTTTCAAGAAATGTTACAATAAGTCAAATGTTCATATTTGTTTACGGTTAATCAATAGTCCTTAAATGCAAAATGGAGACACATTATATTGTAGTCCTGGCTATCGACACAGCTCATAGAGATCGATATTCGTTAACTAAATATCGATCTATTATCGACAAACATCGGAGAGGTACCATGAAGCAAAATGCCACAAAAAGCCACAAATGAATATATTTCACATCACTCGTGAGTGGTGACATGCTACATGGTATGCTATCAAAACAGGGTCCTGAACATTATATAGGCAGCACTTTAACACAAGTCTTAACACTGTATTGTGAATGTAAATTAAATTGTAATCTGTACGAAACATTTATGTACGATATTATCGATAACTATTTTCCATATCGATAATCATAAAGTAATTTTCCTGTCGCCTATATTTTCTATTATCACTTAATACAGTAATAATTTCCTCGTATATATTTTTTTGCTAAACGCATATTGGCGAAATCGTTGGGTGCATATCTGGACCCGACAAGATGATCCATATCTTCCCTGCTCCGAGCGGTAAGATAACCGATATCTCACAACTCAATTTTGTGTGCGAACGTAACACAAAAAGAGTGACGTCATATGTTCCAGGACGTCATGAAAATGACGTCAGATTTAGTTGCGGCAACCTTTAAATGAAACTGGCAGGTGATCGGACGCTATCGTTGCTTGCCAATAATAGATTGATGGAACTAGATGAAGCAGAGGAGCGGGAGGATATTAAATATAAGTGATAGTTAAAAACATTGCAGAGTATGAACTGACAAGTGTTTCAGAAACTAACGCGCAAGTTCAGTTTTTGATTTGCCTATCAAGGTTGATGATATAGGTTTCATTTCGTTCAATTAAGGTTTGTCTATGTCACAAAGAGCAAGATGGAAATTTTTCACGGGAGCAAACTTTTACGCGCCTGTTCATGTTAATGTTATAAACGGCAAAGGTAAACGATACAAACGTATCTTGCGAGGACGACCCGTCATTCTTCACAGCGAGCCTTCGTAGCAAAGTGGGTAAAACTATGGTGTCCTATAATTGCCATCGCGTGGCGCGTAAAAAAAGAAGTACGTCGAATAAAAACACTACGTCGACGACGACGTCGTGCAGAAATACACAAGAATGATCTACGACAAAAATACAAAATCGACGTCGTCCACGACGTCGATGGCGACGTCGTGTTTAGAAATTGTTATATTGGAAAATCGGGGAATAACCTTTTGTGATGCAGTTGTACTGCTATTGATCTCTTATCGCTGACTTCATGTTCAACATTACTACTTATTTAAGTAAACCAATCGAGGGGTTAGTGCCAGAACACCTTAAGTAAAAAATTCTGTCAAATTTAGTTGATGTTGTGAAAAAGGTGTTGTTTTAAGGGATCGATACACTGGTTTTCTACAAAATGTAAAATGTCTCCACTCAGGAAACGAAATATGACTTTTGTACCAGCGGGTTGACATGTGAACCAGCGTGTTTAGTGAGTGAGTTTAGTTCACTCAATTCATTAGTAGTGAGTTATTCATTTCTTACATAAACTTGGAATTGACAGTTTTCATCATCATTTCCACAAATTCAGTTATGGAAAATGCACAATTGGTTTCTTCATACTTCTCGTGGTGGAACATTCATATATGTAAATGGTTTTATGTTTATTGTGAACAAGAAGAAAAGGGGAAAATGGATCTCGTGGAGATGCATTCAGAACGACTGCATATCCGTCTTAACAGTGAACGACATAATTTCCCAAATACCTGGAGACCACAACCACGGACCTGTACACAGCGAAGTCAAAGTGAATCTTTTCGACTGTACCAAAAATACTGACGGCCCCTGCACAAACAACAACCTCCGGGGTTGCAATTGGCATGGCCGTCTCAAGAAGGTTGTGGTAAAACAACATCCCAACCTATTCGAGATGGCCCAAGTTCTTGAAGATGAACAAGGACTGAACGAGGCAAAGATGCTTCAGTATAATGCCGGCCAAAGACTGTCCCCAAAAAGTACTACAGAGATTTGAGGAACGACTAGATATACCTTGAAGTTCAGGCTTTCAAATAACCACCCGACATTGATGGATTACCTGGACAATGACAGAGATAGACAGACAGATAGACAGACAGACAGTCACACAGGTTTTATTCAGTAGTTAAGCCCAGTGGCCCAGAGTACAAAATGAAGTTACTCAATTACAACTATTGGTCACGTGACATGAAATTATGGTTTTACATGTCATTTACGGATGGACATCAAATGTTTTATGAAAATGGCAACAGATTTAATAATATCAGCATTATTAGAATTAAGTACATTGAATATCGTTTGTGGGGCATCATTAGTGCATTTTAAATACTTCTTTCGGCAGGCAGAGAAAGTCTTTACAGACTAATAATAAGTGACGTTCGTCTTCAGTTTTGCACCAGAAGAACAATAAGAACATGATAAATCTTCCAATGTATTATTATCTTTTTCTAAAACGTTCTATTTTTAAGGCATGTAGAGAGATTCTAAATTTACAAAAAAAATTCTTAAAAGGGACTTATCATTAAGAACACTGATATAGTTTGCAGGTCCGAACATCGATTTACATCGTGAATAACGACTAAGAAAACTGGATGAAGTGACTGATGCGTACCACTTTTGAATATATATATATATATATATATATATATATGGTACACTTACATAAGGAATACTGATACTCTACTAGCCCATATTGTTTAGTGTCAATGTCACCCTAACCCTAAACTCACCCTAACCCTTAAGTTCTAACCCTAAACCCTTACCCTAACACTTACCCTAAACCTTACCTTAACCCTAAACCTTAATCCTAACACTTGCCTTAAACCTTACCTCTAACTCCCCTTACTCCTAACCCTAAACCTTACCCTAACCCTCTAACCCTAACCAATAGTAAACTCACGTGCTTTCAAAGATGGCGGAAGGTATCCGGTATTCTGTAATCTTACATATATATATATATATATATATAGATATATATGATACAGTTACGAACAACGAATAAAAGATATATATATATATACATATCTTTTATTCGTTGTTTAAATGTTGACAAACATTTTATATCACCAAATATCTTGCTTAAACCAAACATAAGAAAAACTCGCTTGAAAATATCATCATATTTCACATCTGAAGCCCATGAATACTTTCCACATTTATCCAGTGATAACAATATTTGATAACTTTGATGGGGGCTAAAGCGATAATCAGGCATTCTATATAAGTTTAATCCAGTATCTAATAACTCCTATTTGACTCTCAATATGCATGTTAAAGCGTCCTGTTTCGACAAGTATGGTTTCATTGTTAGATGTACCAACCGTAAGAAATCTTTAAAATAGGGATGCTAATCGGTTTTGAAATTAATTTGTCTCTCATATCATATGCGGAAGTCTATGACATGATTATATATGTGCTAAAATAGGCCAGTATTAATCACATCCTTTTGTAATATGTTATAAAGCGATCAAAAGAAAGTATACATTTGCCACAATTTTTATGTGGGTTTTCATTGTATTCTAAACCGTAAACAACACCCAGCCCAAATCCGATAGCCAGCGCGCGTAGGCATATGCTTAAAGTTGCTAGTACAATACGAAAGGCAAATGGTATTATATTCACCTAAATACTTTCTTTTATAGAGTCGCAAAGCGTAGCATTTTAAGCAAACACTTTGCCTGGAAGTGAACTTCTTCTTTTTATATATTCTCAACAAAACACACTGTCACAAGCGTCCGCTCCGCCTTGGTGTCTGTGTCAAAAGCACCTAACACCTCAAAGGTGTATCTTTAATTGTGCCTTGAATCCATAGATTAGTATTATATCTACCTACATATCACATTGAAATGCGTTACAAAATGCCACATGCAAAGGTAACTGGTCCGTTAAAGTGAAGCTCTTGTCTGCAACCACTCGGGTTGTTCAATCGTGCACCACCTTCAGCTGGCTCGAGTCTGTCTGGCTGTCAAAGTACCTTTAACCTCACACATGTATCTTGGAATGTGTTGAAATCCATAGATCAGTATATTATATCTACCTTAAAATGCCACATTGTGATGTTACAAAGAAAACTGGGTCTATGAAGTGGTATTTAGGGATAGATATAACCATATTCATTGGATGTAAACAGAATCTAAGATCTTCATTCCGCAGAGACTTCTCAAGATACATGTGTCAGGTTTAAGTTGCTTTGACACGCCCGGGCTAAGTAAATAACAGACTTTAACAACAACACTCTTTGATTGAGTGCCATGCTGTCGGAGAAGAGTGAGAGGAGCGAGTGAGTTTAGTTTTACGCTGCAGACTCAGCAATATTCCACCCATATTGCGGCGGTCTGTAAATAATCGAGTCCGAACCAGACAATCCACTGATCAACAGCATGAACATCGATCTGCGCATTCTGAACCGATGACATATGTCAACCAAGTCAGCGAGCCTTGACCAATCTGATCCCGTTAGTCGCCTCTACGACAAGCATGGGTTCACTGAAGGCACTTTAACCCTGGACCTTCACGGCAGAAACAGAGAGAAAAGGACTGAAAAGTGATATATATGTAGATGTAATACTAATCTGTGAATTAAAACGCAATTGAAGATACATGTGTAGAGTTTGCTTCGCTTTTGACGGCCCGGAGGTATGCCGGACCGAACAATAGTGGCGGTGATTATGTTTAGACTGACTGACTGGACTGAGTTTGGTTTTACGCCGCTTTTAAAGCAATATTCCAGCAATATCACGGCGGGGACACCAGAAATGGGCTTCACTCATTGTACCCATGTGTGGGATTCGAACCCGGTCTCGGTCATTGGCTTGACGAGCCAACGCTTTAACCACTAGGCTACCCCACCACCCTTCGATTATGTTTAGAGTGGAGAAGAGATCGTTTCATTTGCAGATGGTATGCTTTAAAACAATGAACATGGCCTCTAGGGTGGTATTTGATTGGATATAGGTGTAAAGTTCATTTTCGGGTCGACAGACAGTTTATCGGGAGGACTGAAGCATTTTGCGTTTTAAACTCAAGGTTTCGTTTAACGATTCTTCTTTAGACGTAACCTTGGTCAGCCACGTTCAGAGCCTATAACATAGTCGATGCCATTTATCTTCGTTTTGAAATACCTGCCGCTTACGTCGCGCGATGCCCGCCATTGTTCACTGCGTCCGGTGTCAAACAGGATTGGCAAAAGCATTGTTCATTCGACGTCGTTGACGCCTGCGGCGTACCATATAAAGTCGCGTTAAGGCCGTTCGAACCAAGCGTCGGGTACGGCGCTACGTTAAATACCGTCGGGCGTATCATGAATTTTAAGATCGTGCATTCAGTGATGGTGTAGACAAAGTCTATCAATCTTCAAAACAAGTAATAATTCATAGCTATTCCTCAGAAAATGCCCGGGCAGAGTGGACGTTATTAAGATACCGACTGACTGACTGAGTTTGGTTTTACGCTGCTTTCAGCAATATTCCAGAAACATCACGGCGGGAAACACCAGAAATGGGCTTCACACATTGTACCCTTTGGGGATTCGAACTCCGGTCTTCAGCGTGACGAGCCAACGCTTTAACCACTGGGCTACCCCACCGCCCCTGTTATTTAGATTTGAGGGATATTACGAGAAAAAAGTGTCCCCTAAGAACAATAATAGGAGGACGTCACTGTCGGTTTATAATAGTTTGTTGGTATTTAAGCAAAATACAAAGTTCGCTCTACCACCATGTATAGTGCCATAAACACACTTTCGCCCTGAACTATTATAGTTAAAGTACGAGGTGGGCGCTTTTTAACCGTCCTAAAACATAAACGTAATGTTTCCACCAGTGCGATGTTAGCTGCGTGAAGCAACTGCAAACCAAGAAACGGGATGCAACGGAGTAGTTTACTGTAGAGGCCGTACGAAGCGATGACCACTCGACATGCATCGTGACGTCACCTACATTGTGACGTAATGTAAAATGGTTCGATTACTAGAGGGCACACCCAGAAAGGCGCAGCGGACGGATAACGCCATTCAATTGCCACCATCAAAAACGGCACCTTTAGCTGTCGGATACAATGCAAATTTCTTTTCGATTTGTTCCGTAAACTGCCAGGGTAATTAGAATTAAAAGTGATAAAATCCATTACTGACCCTTTCATATATTGGCTCCATATCGGAAACTCTCGATCTATTATCTGACCTCGGGCTGACGGCCTCTGTCAGATCAGTATAAGGGTGTCTCGGGATGAAATCGGGGCAAGATATGGAAAAAAAGGAGGTCGCTAATCTCATCACTCATGGACCTTTTAACCGTTTCCAATTAAATTTGCACAGTAACTTTCATCAGTGTGTGGATCTACTTTTAGATACTGGTGGTTAATTTTCTTCATAATAATTCTTATTAAGTGGTACTTTGGTGACGACAACGTGTACAGATATATGTGGATGTGTAAGAAACAAGTTGAAAACATGTCTTCAAAATCGCCTAGCTTTAATAATTACGTTGGAGGGTATTGAAATTTTAAAATAAACTCTCAGTAATTTGGTTGAAAAGGTGAACATACTCCATGATAAGGTAATCTTGTTACCAAGGCTTTTGTGAATGTTGGATTGTATTTGGATGTGTATGGAAAATTTGCATTTGATTGAAGCAATTTCGGGAACAATGTGTGTAAATATTTCTTTAAACACAGCTGATAAATGGTTGTATAAGAGGGAATTTATAACAAAATATGATTAAGGTAGAAAAAGAACGTGTTGGGGCATAGGGCGGCTAAAGATTTCACCAAATCTTATATATATACTCATGCCAATAATGGTTGTCACCACCCCTTCAATTTTTAATTGGAGAGGGGGTGTTGGGTTGGGGTGTTGGGTTGGGGAGAATTATATGGATTATATTTTGAACTGCGCTGAGAAATCAAGTATGGACAGATATCACTTTGGCGATATGTCAGACCGAACTTGATTTTCTTTTATTATTAATTCTGCTCTTTTATTCTTTTACAGTTGATATGGTTCCAGGCCAACCGTTAATGGAATCTCATTACAACGACGGGGCATTTTCAGGGAACGATTGACACCGGTGATGAATTCTATGTTAAGTTGAGAAAGCCAAAAATATTTTGAAGAACCTCAGGAATTCCATTCCAAAGTTGTGTATAGGAAGTCGGATGTGAAGTTTGACATAGACAGTGCCTTCTGTGGAGCCGAGAAACACAGTCAACGTTTGCTTACAATTCAGAAAAAGTGCGACGAAGAATCTGACGAAGATAACAATGGGCAGGACGATGACACAGGAACATACGATTGGTCGAAAGATAACGATACGCATTCTGATTGGTCAGAAAAATACTTCCATTATGATCATACAAGACGAAAGCGGGCTATTGTTCCTACCAAGACCACGTCGCGAACTGTACATGCAGGCCGATCACGTCATATTTCAACAACACGGAAGTGACGTAGACAGCATTATTGAAGAACTTCCTCGCAGAGTGTACAAACAGTTAATGCCATATATGGAGCCATCGGTAGGCCATTTCAACCTATTCCCTGAAGATCAGTGCGTGTTTTGTTGTACAATATTTGTCATTATTATCCGTCCCCCTCTTTATAAAGTAATACAGTGATTACTCTTTGCATTAGCAAATTGGAAAATAATATATACTCTGTAGCATCCAAGCCAACTGGTCTTCAGCATCCCATGCTTGTCGTACCCGTGAAGATCCGGGTTAGAACTGATCTTCTGTAACCCATGCTTGTCATAAGAGGCGACTAACAGGATCGGGTGGTCAGGCTCACTGGACTTGGTTGACATTACGTCATCGTATCCCAATTGCGTAGATAGGGATGTCACGATTTTGATCACTGACGTTCGGTCCAGATCTGATTATTTTTCGTCATATTATGGTCGTCGAATCTGTATAACTCGAAGTAATTACGTAGGTCATCAACTCCGACACAACGATGTTTTACTGATCTGTTTAGATTTCGATGGCGACGGCAACGCTGACAGCATCAACTTTACCATCAAGAAGATCATATAAAAGTACCACGAACAACAGCGAATCTGCGACGTACAGACCGAACGGAAACCATTGGAGTGGGAGAAGTTCCTGAGCTCCACTCGAGGAGAACTACGACAGCTTCCTGTCTGTCGTACATGTTCCTCACCCATTGGTGGGACTTCAAAGGCGGCGGGTGCTGGGGCTGGCGTGGGACGGTAGGGGAGGGACAGTCGGGAGGCGTGCGTGAGAAGCCATACGGTAAAATAGTTTGAACATTCTTTGCATGCTTCCGTTTTACTCTCCTATATCATCGTTCGGACTCGATGTTCTCAAAATCAAGTTTTCTTCCCACTTTCTACAAAATGTATGCGTATATAAACAGGAAAAGCTGTTACGATGTGGAAAGCATTTAACATCTTCACTCATACATAAATGCCGTTTTCTGACTGGTTGAAGCTTACAGGCGAGTAACATTTCTTATGTTACCCGCAGGAAACGCTGAACCATTGTGGTAATTCTGTTTTGGTACTTCATGTGTTAGTAGTGTTTGGGCTGTTGTCTAACTCTTGCACCCTCCCTATTTTGATCCAATACCCGTGCTTCAAACAGTTCTGAAATTAATGAACTATGTTGTTCATTATCCCTCCTCGTCTCATGGGTTAGATGTACCCCTCTTACGTTCAGGCTCAGGGAACATAAACAAACATAGAGGGTACATCAAATCCCATGTCCCCCACGTGACAAATAAGTGGAACAACTTCTATGATATTTTACCTTCTGGCGAAAATAAATACAATACACAACACCGCAAAAGAGTTTTCCAAAAATTCGATTTTACCAAAAGGCAATGAAAATTCATTTTGACTGAAAACAGTCGCCAAAACACTGCAAAGGTCAGGTCCAACAGGTAGTTGTGATATCAGTATCAAGTACTCACACCACATAATAACTATGAGTTGTTTGTTGGTGCAAAGAGATGATGTTAACGACCTTCGTGTAATAAATTTCATTTCTTATTAAACGAGTTAATAATTTGGTATCAAACGAGAAAGCGCGAGTCTGGATATATCTTACGCCAGTTTTAATCGAAAAATGATATTTCCATGGAAGCGAGTTTATTATTAATTTCAACATAAATTGATACAGAAACCGCTTGGCTGCGTGATGCCTCCCTCAACTTTCGCGAGTCAAGGGAAGGTCTCATCACCATTGTGACAGAGGTGGTTAGCATTGTGACGTCATAACTTCGGTAAAACATTATGACGTCATAACGTCTAGCGGTATTACATTATAATTTGTATGTTGTCGAGATGGATGCAGGCCTCTTTGCAGCAGTGTCACCCGACTGCAAACAAAGAGTAGCGTACATCGTGACCGGTATTACCCGAGGGAGAAGCATACAACGTATTTATCTTTACCGCCACGTTAATGTGCACAAAAATATCATCTTTATTTTATGTTAGGAGATTGCTACCGACTATATGACATGCAAAACAAAATGGCGTCTGCCCCTCGACTCGATTTCTTTTAACATCAGTGAAACATATTCTGACAAGCATAGAAAACTGCTATAATTTTAATTTTCGAGGTTTAAGCTTTCGGAGTGTGCAAACCACTCAATGTATAAAATAGCTTCAAATAGAGCAGTGAAAGTCGGGAAAATATATCTGCACAAAGTGAACACAAAAAAAGCTGATCGACCGGTTTTCGAACCTGGCACGGCATGCGCTCATATTATGACGTTACATGATTGTTAGCGCTTCAGCTCTCTCTGCAGAGAGCTTGGCGGTTACCGTAGCAGCGGGTAACATTTTTTCCAGTTGTCACCCCTCCGAGGAAATAGAGAAACAATGGTTGCTGAAGCAGTGATATGCACATTACGTGCAATACGTGCACATATGCGTTAAGCATGATTGACCGCTTATACTTCACCTCATATGGATAATAATCCTGGTTTACATCACACCTGTTCCAGAATATCTTCATGAGATGAGGTGGGCGGTTTGAAACAGGTTTTACGTAACCAAATCCAGGGTCACCCAACGATAGTGACGCCATAATACGGAACTTCTCTGTTGCAAACCTCTGATATCTTTGAATTACTACAACTCCATTCAAACAGTTTTACCAAAATGTAAGTTTTGTGGATAATTAAAATTCAATTCCTCTGTTTCTCCCTGAGATTAGTTTTATTTTTCAATTGAATATTGTTAATCGCTTATTTTCATCTATAAGGTAGTCGTGACAGAGTTATCTCTCGTTCATTTGAAAAATTTATGTTGAAAATATTTAGTTTTGTCACCTCTATGTAGATTGTCACTTGCTCGGCGGTTCAGAAGGAAATGACAACATTTGGCTACACAAAAGTAGGATTCATGGATCCCCAACATGTGCTTGCAAAACATTCCATTTGAAGAAAACAAAAACCTAAGCTGGTTTTTTTTCAAGTGTAGCCTGAAATTATGGTAAAAATGAAGAGATTGTAACATTATGATCTCATTATATCTTCCTTTCATCTAACTCCTACAGTGTATATTTCCAGACATTTGCTCAGGGTAGTCCTTCAGCCTGAACACCGGCATAGTGACGACACTCGCACTACGGCAAGACAGTGTCCACGTTGGTCTCAACTGACCTTCGCCCACGAGATCGGCCACAACTTTGGTTCACCGGTAGTTATCCTATGTTTGTATCAGCTATCACGACCCAGTTTCTGGGATGTGTCCAACCCCCGAATCGAAATAATATAGGTCCCAGAGCTCCAGATAAGCTTTAGGCCATGTGGGTATGATACTTCCATATTTTTTTAAACTAAGAGGGTATTTCTAATTTCAAGTGGGTATCTATACTTTTAGATACCCACCATCTTTTAAAATCCGTATTCATTTCAAATAAGTATAAAAGGTGCGACATTTTCTTCATTCAATAATAATAAATAAGACAACCCCTAACCCCTACCCCCACCCCCAACAATGCTAAATTATAGCAACTAGCTGATCTGAAATCATTATTTTATAAACCACATGGACGTGTGTGAGGGTGTGTCGACGTATCGCAGCTGCATAGATCCATCTTCTTCATAGTGTCAATCACTGGATTGTTTTGGTCCAGACTCGATTATTTACAGACCGCCACCATATAGCTGGAATATTGCTGAGTGCGGCGTTAAAACAACAAACAAAACACATGTGTAAGGTCAATTTGTCATTCCTGTCAGTCATAGTGTTACTTTCACCTTTACGGCGCTAAAATTAACTTCATTATTTTACCAATGAATTTGAAAATACTCGATTATAATTGGCAAGTTAGATGTTTCCGCCCCGATATCACATAGCTGCTTTTACCATCATTCTAAAGCAGACCCCAGTTAGAATTTTAGCTACATCTTCTGAAACAGAACTTCATCATTCTGAAACAGACCCTAGTTTGAATTTCCATCATTCTGAAACAGACCCTAGTTTGAATTTACATAATTCTGAAACAGACCCCAGTTAGAATTAACATCATTCTGAAACAGATCCTACTTTGAATTTCCATCATTCTGAAACAGATCCTACTTTGAATTTCCCATCAATTCTGAAACAGACCTTTAGTTTGAATTTACATCATTTTGAAACAGACCCTAAATAGCATTTACATCATTCTC